AGTATTTTGTCAAGATCTAGTAAAAATATAATATCTATCATATCCATTTATTTTTGAATCCGTATAAGGTAAAAATTATTTGAGATATTAGAAAATCATTGCAATCTATCAAAAATCTAGTTATCGTGTTTTGTAAGGACGGTTTAATACAACACACAGTTATTGGCAAGTGTTCCCCAGCGTTTGCAGCAATAATCGTTTAAAAACAACTGTCGTGGAATGGGCACCGAGGTTGGCTGGACTTTCGGCCAAGTTGGGAGCCGTGCCGTGCCGATGTAACAGTTGCCGTGGTCGTTAGTTCACTAACTCGCACCACTTTGTTACCGCCATTAGAGCCGACTTGGCCGCTCGGCTCCTTATCGTGACGTTTCTTGCTCTCGCAACTTCTTGTTGATAACACCGGCACAGTTTGAGGGCTGTTTAGCGCAGCCGAGCTTTTTGATATTTATTTTCAACGTTCATTTTCCGTTTTAACTGTGTCGTCTTTCATGAACGTTAATTTCAATGTCGTAATAGAATATTAGGTTATAACGTGTTTAATGATAAACTCTTATAAAATGATGTTATATTTTCTGAAAGCTTATTGCCAGTATATCGTTATAGATTGTTAATCATAAGTGTAGCATTAGTATAATATATTTTTAATGCGCTTGTCGATTCTATTTATTAATAAAAATTGATAGTCAAAAATATGACTTAAAAAACTCAACTAACACCTATAGTTACGTGTTGTCTATTTTGTTTTATTTATGTACGATATAGAATATCAAGCTAAATAATAAAAATAAAGTACTTACTTATATAATCGCATTTTGTAAATACTGTAGCCTAGTTTAACTAATGTATTTTCATTCAAATATTATGTAGTAACAATTCACTATCGTCCTTAAAGTGTTGAACAAATAAGCTGAGTATACATTAGGTAGTACGACATTTACAAGTCGCAAAAAGTTCCTTAGGATCCGGTCACTCTTTGTTATTAAAATCGTCGAATAAATGTAAAATTGTGTTACTTTGTAGATAGTATGATTAAGTATAAAGTTAAGGTTCGGTACAAATACAAAGTCCAATAAATAATTTAAATGTAACTGGAAGGTATTATGACAATGACTACTATATAACATAAAAGATCAATAACTTAAAATAAAATAATAAGAAATTAAACATGTAAGTATTCATGCAAACAGTAATATATGTGTATTTTAGGGTAGTTAGTTTTAAATATGGCATTACCGCAATTGTCAAATACCTACATGATTGCTAAGTTGCTCATTCTCTCGCAATTAACCGCTAAACTGAACAGACGTGTGTTATTATGCTCCCTAATAATATATATATATATATATATATGGTAGTAGTCGGATCCCCGGTCGACACTACACAAACTACAATAAAGTCAAAATATAAAATCTTGCCGGCAAAAGAACTTTTTCATCTAGGTTACTAGGTTCACTCTGTAATGTCTCACCCACAATAATAAACAGCACAGTAAAATGTGACAAAATGGTAAGTTTAAATAGCTAAAATGTCTCCTAGACGTTTACCACATTTGTTTTTCACGTTAACGAAGTACACCTAACTGATTTTGTGCACAGATTTTGTTTTTTGTTAGATTTTGTGCGCTACAACTTACAAAATCTCCATATATACCATATACCCAATCCATCTCGTTTAGGATGTAGTATCGTAGACAAGATGACAATTACGCTCCAGATAGAATTCAAAGACAGGACCCACGATATAGTAACCAAGGACTGCCCATTAAAAACATAAGGTGTGGTAACTTCAATGAAAAGTGCAAAATGTTCTGTGGTTAACTACCCCCTCTTTTCAGCTCGAAAAAAAGGAGAACGCTGAATAAGTCGACAATTAATAAACCCATTGCGTATGTAATCAGAAACCCAATATCCCTTTAGACGTATTTTATGATTAGCTAGGCAAGTAACACTCACAATACGCACAATTAAAAACACACTACGCACAATAAAAAATGAATTTGTGCCCTCAATCACATTTTGCAATGCCATTAGCATTATAATTTTTAATATTTGTCGGTTTAAAATTTTATTATATTTACAGAGACACACAAACACATTTTTAAGATATAGATGGACAATTGAAAAGAAACCTTAAGATGTATTTTTTATATCTTAAATTTAAAATAATAGAAATTATTATTGAGCTCATAATCTAAGCCTAGGTAGGGCCACTTAATAATGATATTGCTTAAGATAGTGGTCCGTAAAGCTGAAGAAATGTTTAGGTGTGAAATTTTCGGGAAATACTATCATCATCAACTGCCACTTTCGCATTGAACCAAGCCTCGACCTATCTAAAAACAAATAAGCTACTCTATCTTGCAAATTAAAACTAAATATCATATTTATAACTACAGTCCAAGTAATCAAACAGGTGGGACGACATTGACGTTCCGGTGCGTTTATACAGCCGTGAATTTCTCGTAAAGTTATTAAGTCGTTTTGGCAGGAACGAACACTAATGGGAAATGAGGTCGTAATATAACGGGCGGAGTGCCGCAGGCAGCCTCTAATGGCACTACTAACTAACTAACTGTCACCGCAACGACGACAGCCGCGGTCGAGTTCGCGCCTCTGCCGCCTCATGGTGCGTTCGTCTGCTGCCTCGCGATTCAGATGTCACCCTGGAATTTAACTTTACATTGCCTCCCTCACCTACACAAGCTTTTGCGATACAGCAATATGATAACTAAGTCATATTGTGTACGAAAATGTGGCGTTATTATAACGTAAACAATAACAACTATTACGCTGTAAGTGTACAATCAACTATATTGTTTACAATTTTTTATCTTTATTATTATTATATTTTATTATCTTCTATTGTGGGGTATCTATATAGTTTTCTCATCTGGTTGGGATATATAGATATATAATTATAAATGAAAATGAAAAGATAAATATACATAAATATCAATAAAATAAAATAAATAAAAAAGTACATAAATAAGTAAAAGCCCAACCAGATGGAGGCCCTCGGCAGGGGAGACCAAACGGCCGAGGGTTAGGGGGAAAGGGAAAGAAACCGGCGGACGATGCGGGCAGTATCGAGGAGCACCGCCTTCTGCATTTGAGCCTGGAGCGGTCCGCCACGTAGTCCCAGCCGCTTCAGATGACCAGAGAGGCTAACTGGGATTAGCCCGTTCGCAGAGACGACTACAGGAATAATTTCGGCCGGCAGACCACCCCACATGTCGGTCACCTCGTGAGCCAGGTCCAGATATTTTGTTTGCTTGTCTGTTTCGGCTTTCACGAGGTTCTCGTCATACGGGATGGTAATGTCGACCAAAAATATCCTTGACTGTGCCCGGTCCATCAGCACAATATCAGGCTTATTCGCAAGAATAGTCCTGTCTGTGATGATGGCCCGGTCCCAATAGAGCCTGGCGCGGTCATTTTCGAGCACGGCTTCCGGCAAGTACTTGTAATACGGCAATTTCCGATCCACGAGACCGTATTTCAGAGCGAGCTCCTGGTGTAGAATTCTGGCTACTAGGTTGTGCCTGTGCAAGTACTCAGAGTTAGAAAGCGCCGAACAACCGGAGATAACATGCCTGAGTGACTCCCCGGGATGGCGACAAGCTCGACAGACGTCGACGGTGCCATCCTTTAGGATGTATCTCCGATAGTTGTTGGTCTTAATAACCTGGGAATATCCTGTATTGCACAGACAAAACCCTCGGTTTCCCCGAAGAGATCACCAAAGCGTAGCCAGTTGAGGGAGGCTACTGTGTCTACGAAGGGCTCATGTAGAGCCTTGTAGTACCTCCCGTGGAGCTCCTTCTCCTTCCATACGGTCTCCCGGTCGGAAATGCTAAGCACTGCCGGGTCTTGCCATTGCTCGTTGGCTAAGGATAGAGGGGTAAGCCCTTTATCACTAGAAATGACGTCATTATAGAATGGATCATCCGATCTCGACAAGAAGTAATCACGGAGGCTGCACACTTCGCGATTATGCATGGTGAGCGCGCTCAGAAAGCCACGACCACCATGCTTTCGCGGCAAGTACAGCCTCATTACCGACGATCTCGGATGATGCATCCTATGAGACGTCATGGTAGCGCGGACTTTTCTATCCAGGGCGTTAAGCTCAGTCTGAGTCCAACTGAGTATGCCAAAGGTATACATGAGGACAGGCATGACCCAGCCGTTATATGCGTGTGCCTTATTCACACCGGACAAAAGGCTGTTAAGCACTTTGGTCAAGCGTGCATAAAACACGTCGCAAACTGACTGTTTCATACCAGCCTCATCGATACCGATGTTCTGTGACATACCCAGGTATCGGTATGTTTCAGCCTCGGAAAGGGTTCTTAAGTTGACGGGCATAGATAAGTCTATGCCCTCAGAGTTAGCAACCCTTCCCCTTTCAACATGGAGGACCGCACACTTATCCGTCCCCAGCTCCATTCTAATGGAATTGCTAAATTCACACGTGATGTTTAGCAGTTCCATAAGATGGGAGCGACTGGAGGCGAATAATTTGAGGTCATCCATATATAAAAGGTGGGTCAATTTTGTACCTCCTTTCCGAAGCTGAAATCCCCTCCCGGAGCCCTCCAGTAAAGTACTGAGAGGGTTCAAAGAGAGGCAAAACCAGATTGGACTCAGACAGTCGCCCTGGAAGATACACCTTCTTATCCTTATGCGGCTTTCCGCAGCCGTCATCCGCTCGCCTAGATGACGAGGAATCGTACTCCACTGCCCCATACACTGCCCGAGGAAGTCTCTAACTGTACAGTCAATCTTGTACAGCTCGAGGACCCTCTTTAGCCATGTATGGGGCACCGAGTCAAATGCCTTTCTGTAGTCTATCCAGGCGGCGGAGAAGTTCCGACGGTTTTTCTTTCCAGATGTCTGAGCGCGCGACATCACCTGATTTAAGTCCAGGTGACGAGTGATTCTCGCGCTCAAAATGGATGTTAATTTCTTGTATATAGCCGGTAGACACGTGATGGGGCGTTATTTGCTCAGGTCTGTGGCACCCTGATCTTTAGGAACCAAATGAGTGATCCCAGTAGTGAAGAGGCTTGGGAGCGACTTCTGGTCGAGAGCCTCTTGAAACTGTCGGGCGAGCACAGCGTGACACACCATGAACCCCTTCAGCCAGTAGTGATGCAGCCCGTCGAGCCCCGGACTTTTCCAGTTCGGGGCCCTACGGACCGCCTCAGCTACGTCATCCGGCGTTATGATGACGGGGTCCATGGGCGTAATACTCGCACACTGACTCGCCACAACTTCCGTCCAAGGGCCCTCGCTGTGGTTTACGGGCTCTGACCACAGGCTGCGCCAGAATGCGACCATGTCGGCCTGATTTGGTGCAGGGCCCGTTCCACTTACTATTGGTCGCTCCAATGATTTATAGAGCCTCTTCTGATCACTCTGGAAGAGACGATTCTGGTTGAACCGTGTCGACCTCTCGGTATATCGCCGAATCCGCTTTCCCCAAGCAGCTATTCTTTGCTTCAGGTCGTCTATGCGCTCCGTCAGTTTTTGCATTATATCCGGCTGGGACAAACTAACATTTATCCCAGCAAACGCCATCCTGACGGTGCGCACAATCCTTGGCCTGGTATTGCCTGACCTGAAGCATATCAGTCTGCCGATGAGGGCCCTAGCCTTTGCGATACGTTCTTCAATTCTTATTCTCCAGGCTGGGATAGCACTACTTTGTCCAGTAGCGCGTCCAGCCGTGGAAAGTTTGGCACCTATAATACGGCAGACTGCCAGTGCGGCGCCAAAAAAGAATTGAGTCCGTATCGCAAAGGTCCCGGCTGGCTTCCAAATAGGTAACCAGCATTGGGTTCAGAGCCCTCACGACAGCCCGATTCCGCTTGCTTAGGGCTAAGCGGGGAAGTCGCGGTCGATTTTCGAGAGTCGTACTGCGCGTTTCCACAATCGCCTCTTCCAATGTACTCCTCATTTGCTCTAGTTCCAGTTCCTGGGCGACTGTTCCATCATCGTTTGAATCAACCACAACTGGCGTATTCACGGCGGCATCCACATTTGCCGTTTGCTCAGCAAGTTGTGGCGCCGCATCCTCAGCCGCAGCATTTTCACCCGATGAAGGAACAGCCTCACGTCGTAGCCGTTCGAGTTCGGTGACATCAAATGTATTTGAGCGCAAGATATACCTAACTCGGTCTGCCAGGTTTTGTTCGGTGACGGTTACAGATGGCTCCAGCTCAGCAAAAAGTCGATGCATCCTTGCCCGATACGCAAAACCTCCAGTTTCTCCCCCTTTCGCCCTAAAATACGCCCGCAATGCGTTGCTGTTCATCTGGGTTGTCCAACGCATGCGGCGTACTCCACCAGTGGCGGGTGCCGATTGCTGAGCCCGCGAAGACCCTGCCGACACCAAGCCAGCTGGTGGGGATGATGGATGCGAGGAGCTGCTAGGTGGTCGTGCAGCACCTCGCGCTCGGCTGGCGGTTCGCATGCTGTCGCGTCCAGCGCCAGCTCCAGACGCGCCCTGGCGACCTCCAGGCAGCGGCCCTTTGCGCGTTTCATTTGATTCCATCATCCATTTTAGGGCGTCATTTAGCGGGAGACGCCCAGACCCGGCGCCGTTTCATGGTTAGGCCATGTGCACAAGCGGGCCCTGGCACCTTCAATTTTTGCCGAGGCACGGCACTAACACCTCTTGGCAAGGTGCTGACTGACTGCGCCGACGTAGCGGTTTTGTCACATAACCGTTATATCAGCGGGCGATGGGGTCGTCACTTCCCTACGCCTTATATTATTATATTTTATTACTTTTATTGCTTATTTTAGGGTATTTTATTTCGTTAATAATATTTTAATTCTTAGCTATGAAAGAGCGAAGTGACCTGTTACAGGCATTATTTTGCTTACTAGGTGACTTCGATCACTGATCATATAATGTAACATTAATGTTTGACGAAATAAATAATTTATTATATATTTATTATTATTATTAAGATACCTTTCTGTGTCTGCTATCAATGAAAATAAAATAAAGATTGATGTTGAAGATTGACAATATTAACAATTATTCCTACATGACAAGGTTTAGTGTAATAATACAAACTTATTAATTTGATAATGATTTCTTATATTTACGCGAACACTACACATTAAAATAATACTAGTTTTTACGGAATTTATCGCGTATATTTTAACTTTTTAAATACCCGACGTTTCGAACGCTTTACAGCACTCATGGTCACGGGCAGGACTGAGATGTTCAACGTCCATATGTCATAGTTAACCGCGGTTACCATAGATTAAAATTTAACTTTTGTTCCGATTTATGCAGTATGAACTTATGGTATCTTGAAGTCTTGCAGTTGTATGCTTGGGTTGGGATTTAATTTTATTTATTATAGGATCCCAAGCAGATGGTAGCACCCAGCCATCTTCTCTATTGAAATTAGGATGTTTTTTGATTTCAATAGCCTCGCGAATCATCCTTGGAAGGAATCGGTGTTCTTTAGCGAGGATCTGCGGTCTATCAAATCTGATGTAGTGACGGGGGCGATCCTGTACGTGTTCACAGACTGCAGACTTCCCGGAGCGTCGATTCTTCACATCAGCTATATGTTCTTTAACGCGGGTTTTTATTGATCTTTTAGTTTGTCCTATGTAGGAGAGACCACATTCACAATCAAGCTTGTACACTCCTGCATCTTGCAGAGGGACATTACACTTGACCGATGGTAAAAACTGACCAATATTCTTCAGCGGCTTGAAGTATGTTTTGATGGAAGCGCGCTTCAAGATGTAGCCAATCTTGTCAGTGACTCCTCTAACATATGGCAGTACAGCAGGTACACGCTCGACTGTGGCCGGCTTCACTCGTTCTATGTGACGTAGGCGCGGGACTCGAAGCTTGTTGTCATGCAAAACTTGCTTGACATGGTGGAGCTCTGCAGCCAGGTGTTTACTGTCACAGATCCCTCGTGCTCTCTGAAACAAAGATTTACCCACGGTAGCTAACTGTGAAGGATGGTGGTGAGAATCACCGTTTAAATATCTATCTGTATGGGTCTTTTTTCTATACACAGTATGGCTCAAGGTGTTATCAGGATTCCGAATTACTAACACATCTAGAAAAGCTAAGGAATCGTTTGCCTCTAACTCCATTGTGAACTGAATTTTAGAATTTATAGAGTTAAGATGGTCTAAAAATGCAGTTACTTTATCTAAAGGTAGAATTGTGAAAGTGTCGTCTACGTACCGCTTGTAGAACCTTGGATTTATGGGAGCGCTAAGCAGGGCTTTCTCCTCAAAGTCTTCCATAAATATGTTGGCGACAATGGGAGATACAGGTGAGCCCATCGCCACACCATCTACTTGCTTGTAGAACTCCTCCTTCCATTTATTTTTTTTAAATTTTTTATAGGTATTTAAAAAGTTAAAATATACGCGATAAATTCCGTAAAAACTAGTATTATTTCAATGTGTAGTGTTCGCGTAAATATAAGAAATCATTATGTAAACCAGTACGGACTGGTAATTGCAAATAAAATACGCCGATTAGAAGATCTAAAGACCAAGCGCGCAAGATATCTAACAGCCTTAAATTTCTTGAAGAGATGCCGTGACCATAATCTCATTCCTACGTGTGTTAAAATATCAAACAAAAAGGACATTCGAGGAAGCGCTAAGATCTTAAATCAGACGAGTAAAAAGTTGTTACGAACGGTAATCCAACAAAAACGCTCCGATCTATATGACATAAACAAATCCATAGACACATCATCCAGTTAATTGAAGAAAGTTTTAACGACGTTTGACTATAATTTTTGCATGGAAACATTAAATAAACGCGAAATTAATAAATATAATGAATGCAAAAACAAACATATAGAAAAATATCAAAAATTAACGAACAAGTCAAATGTCAAACATCTGAATCAATGCCAGAACCGAAAGCAACCATTGACAAACACAGATCATAGATTAATCGCGCTCTATAATCTGTCAAAACAAACACTGGATGATGCAACAATTAGGGTTTTATCCAAAGGCCTCAACTTTGCAATTACACCCCGCAAATTACCGTACGAAGAAATTATCTGTAGTGTCGAGGACTGTTTATTTAATAACAATATGCGGAAAGAAGATTTGAAGGCGATACGTCAAGACATCTCGTCTATGTTACGTCGATGTTCAGTGCCTAAACTGAATCTTCCCAAAGACGAATTTATAGCGTTAAAGAACCTACGCAATAAACACGAACTTACGATTCTCCGCGCAGATAAGGGAAACGCCACGGTAGTCATGGATATGTCAGATTATAATTCTAAAATACAAGAACTTTTGTCGGATGTAAGTACTTATAAAAAAGGTTAAAAACGACCCAACAAATAGCACACTAAAAACAACTAGTGACCTCATAAAGAAACACTCCGAAAAATTAAATCTGGACGTAAAATGGATAATACCTACGTGCGCCAAATCACCAAAATTGTATGGGTTACTAAAAATACACAAGCCTAATGCTCCATTACGTCCCATAGTGAGCCAAATCGATTCACCAACTTACAGATTGGCTCAACACTTAGCGAAAATACTCTCACCACTCAGGGGACATACAAGAGCACACATAAAGGATTCCTACCATTTTGTCAGCGAGATTAAAGACCTACATCTGGCAGACAATGAAACTATGGTCAGTTTTGATGTGCAGTCATTGTTTACATGCTTACCTGTTGAAGACTGCATCTCAATTGTAACTAGAAGGCTGGAAGAAAACAACATGCCCGTAGAATATGCAGTATTACTCAGACACTGCCTTACATCTGGCTACCTATTGTGGAAGGAGGAGTTCTACAAGCAAGTAGATGGTGTGGCGATGGGCTCACCTGTATCTCCCATTGTCGCCAACATATTTATGGAAGACTGAGGAGAAAGTCATGCTTAGCTCTCCCATAAATCCAAGGTTCTACAAGCGGTACGTAGACGACACTTTCACAATTCTACCTTTAGATAAAGTAACTGCATTTTTAGACCATCTTAACTCTATAAATTCTAAAATTCAGTTCACAATGGAGTTAGAGGCAAACAATTCCTTAGCTTTTCTAGATGTGTTAGTAATTCGGAATCCTGATAACACCTTGAGCCATACTGTGTATAGAAAAAAGACCCATACAGATAGATATTTAAACGGTGATTCTCACCACCATCCTTCACAGTTAGCTACCGTGGGTAAATCTTTGTTTCAGAGAGCACGAGGGATCTGTGACAGTAAACACCTGGCTGCAGAGCTCCACCATGTCAAGCAAGTTTTGCATGACAACAAGCTTCGAGTCCCGCGCCTACGTCACAGAGAACGAGTGAAGCCGGCCACAGTCGAGCGTGTACCTGCTGTACTGCCATATGTTAGAGGAGTCACTGACAAGATTGGCTACATCTTGAAGTGCGCTTCCATCAAAACATACTTCAAGCCGCTGAAGAAGATTGGTCAGTTTTTACCATCGGTCAAGTGTAATGTCCCTCTGCAAGATGCAGGAGTGTACAAGCTTGATTGTGAA